AACCGTACGCTAGATTTGCAGACTCACATCCTGAAAAGGCATAGAGATATCTCCTGGGACTGATTGACAGACAGGCAGATAGACATGAAGGACAAGTCGGCGAAGAACATGTTGAAGCCCGGGAAGGGGGCAGCAACGAAAGCGCAGAAAGACGAGAACAAGAACGCAGCGCCAGCTCTTTTCAAAGTGAAAGTGACAGACAGAAGACACAACCAGTCTGAGAAGGGGAAAGCTCCTGTGGCAGTGCAGAGAGACATGTTGCAACGCCAGCCATCACCATTCGAAGGTCATTCTCCTCAAGGAAGACGGAAGGAGATCGAGCACAAAGCAGAGGCTGAGACGGCCGACCACGCTGGCGATCGATGACGATGCTACGAGCAAGTCAGCGAGGCAGGCGGGTGAAACCGAAGCACCGTTTGGTTTCCAGAAGTGACGACGATGATGATGGCGGATTGGTTGTTTACCTCGGAGACGAGGGCGCGCAATGCACGAGAAACTCATGGTACTTCCGGAGTGGAGGGAGAATGAGCTGCTGACTTCCAGGTCAGTTTTCGAAAAGTCTAAGAACCACATCAGACTACATAGGTACACGTTTATGTGACGCCTATTGAAAGATGCTGCACAAGAGGGTGAAATGAAGCTCAGGAACTAGGCACTGCCACGTTCTACTTAAAACGGCGGAGATGCTGGACCGATCCAGGGAGTTTTCTCTTTGCTTTGAACGGGTGGTGTGAGCCAGTTGGTCTACTGCAGAGGCCGCACGCAAGACAAGCTGAGTGAAGCTTATGAATACGTGCGAGCAGCACAAGCGTTCAAATTGCAAAAATGGGGATGCGATCTTTCTGTCCGTCTATCTGTTTGTCTGTCTAGCAATCGATCTGCCTTTCTGTAAATGAGCCAAGCTGGTGTGAGTGCCACACAATGTGCACACATCTTTCCGAACATCTAGATGTCGACTCAGGCGCGTGCGCAAAGCACCCAAGGCCTCCCCCACAATCGGCGTGTTTGCGCATATCCGGAACCCCTTCATTCCTTCTTCCATGCCGAGCACGAATTGACTGGTGTGTCACACCTGTGCATCCTTGTGGTCCAACAACCGAGCTGTAAGCTGGTCCCGCCTGGGCTGCTGGACTGGTTGTGCCGACAAAGCTACGCTCGAAAAAAAGAAACGGGCGCGGGCGTCGAAGCCAGCTCAAGGTCGGACCCTAATCGGGGGGAATGCTTTTGTAAAACACGTACCCGTGTTACACTTAAGACCGTTTTCCGGGCGACAACGTTTCCAGGCTTTTTTCGTTGTGGCCCAATCAAGGCAAATTTTGGACAAGGAGTTGTAGGCTTGGCTTTGAAAATGAGGCTAGATTTGTTTAATTATTCTAATTGTTTCTTTTTGGGTGGAGTTCCAGACTAGAAAAAATTGGAATTTGTAGAAAAATATGAGTCTAGAATTCCCTCCAAAGGAATTCTTAGAATGATTCGAGAAGAATTAATCACAACATATTCTAATTGTTTTGAGCAAAGATGAAAAGATAAGGTGTCAGTTTTCCTGGCCACGGGAGGTACATCACCTAGTGAAGTAAGAGGGCCATCCAATCAAGGAGCGTTCCCAAGCTAACAGCAGTGGAGAACTTTTTTGAGGTTGCCTGGAACCTAAGTAGGGGTGGTCAAAACATCTGCATGTTGGGTTTTGCCCACTTTACAATGCGAGCACCCGAAACTTGGACAACCAAGGTACCCACCAATGCACTGATGAACAAATGTCACGAGCCCAAAATGGGTGCAGACTAACATGACACATCCTCCTTGCCCAAAAGACACTTGTTCTTCCTTCAATGGTTTTCAACATTTGCTGGATGTGCTTCGGGACTCGTTCATGTTTCGCTGCTGCAACATGCACATTTTGGGAGCACCCTAGACCTCCACCGCTTTCTGCTCTTGGAGGAGGGGTTTTTAAGGTGCGGAGCATGAAGCCATGCCAGTTCTCCGGAATGGGCTTACTCCCTGGGCGCGCGGCTTGCACTTTCAACTTTTGAGGAGCGTTCTGCATCAAGTTGCGACCTGGCCGACACTAAGTTGATCCCTAGCAGCCACCCAGCTCAAGCCTCAAGCCGTGCTTTTTCGCCGTAAGTCGCGACAAAGTTCCAATGGCAAGAACCATCCTACTTGCTCTTGGCCTGGCACAGGCGCGGCATCGCTCGCAAGTTGGTCCCCTGAAGTGGTTTCGGTTTGAGGGCCTTTCATGAGGAGAAACACGTTTTGCTCGTGGGGGACTTGGGCTAGCGGAAAAGAATTCGAATGGGTTTGGGACGCTTCTCGAAGCAGGAAGGTGGGATCCAGCATGGGTGTCGTGTTGGTTGGGGTTGCCGTCCTTGAGTTAAAAAGCCTTCAACCCGATTCGCTCGCTTTTGGCGATCGCTGTGTCCTTGCAACCGGCTACAGGCTTGGTTTCAGCTTGCAGTCAGCGAGTTAATTAGTTCCTTGGGCCATTACGAGTTCGACGCGGGTTTCGCGATTGCGTAGATGCCCGTGTTGTGGGTGTGATTTTCCAAAAGGGTGTTGCAGCGATTCTTTTGCATTCCGACCGGTGATTTTTCAATATGTATCTTTAAGGGGGAACCCCCTGAACAGTGGTTGGTGGACACAAATCCCCACCTAAATGATTTCCACCAAAGGGCCCATAATTAAATTCATACCCATATCAGACTCAG